CTGTAGCACGACATGTTGGAACATGGTGCAACATGTTTATTGTCTGACACGGTGGGTTTTGCTAAGCTGATCAGCTTAGCATGCGCGCTGCAATGACACAAGCAGTTTGAGCAACCCTCTTATGTCTTAGGTTGTCTCCCCTTGAGCACACAGCACACATATGAAAGCGCACATAGAGGACATAGAGGACACACATATTTGCCGGGTGCTACTAAGTATATATTATTTAATATTATATAGAAACAATTTTCCCATGTTTTTTCAGGGGGAAGCTAGTGACGTGCCAGCAAGGGTTGGCATCATTGTGTGGGAAACCTTATTCATGTGTTTCGAGTTTTTTGGCCAGTCGAAATCCAACGCTGTGGCTGCACAGTTTCGACCTAGATTCGTTTCGCCTTGGTCAAGGCCGTTGCCTTTTTAAACTGGAAAAGCTGTCAAGTGGATCACTCAGGGGAGAAGTGGACCCCGCAGCAATTCTTCCCACAGGCATGAATTTTTCCAAACCATGACCCTGAAGTTCTCATGAAGATTCTGGGTGTCAAATGTTTGAAACCTGTGTCTCAAAAAAACATCAAAGCGCCACCGCTGGCGCCATTTCGATTTTCAACTTCGAGCGCTGTGGTGAGCTGACGTCTTGCCGCTGCGAAAGTCCTGCAGGCGCTTCGACCCTCCCGAGTCACAAGCGTGTGTGTGTGGGACAAGTGTCTTGCAGGAATTCAAGCCTCCTTACGATGTGACCATGGAGCATGCCCCCAAAGCATTTACATGATGTTGCAAGGGTAAAGTGGGCTGTTCTGGATTCTGCTTATGAATCATCTCAGCCATTTGGGTTTGGGAAAAGGAAAGTGCTCGCTGTATCTCGCTGTATCTCGTTAGCTTTGTCCAGCGACAATGGCTGAAGAGTCTTTGCAGCTTGCCATGGAGTCATGGAAGAGTGTCCGTGGCTAGTTCCAACTTTGGCCATACACCCTTTCCACCCTGAACTGTTTGTTGTTTGTGGATAAGTTTTTCTCAGCGTGTTTTTTGAGGTTGCAAGGTTATATCCTGTTCCATCTAAGGTCCTGGAAAGGTACCTTGGAAGGGCGTTGATGTGAGGCGAGTGGCCTTCAGGATCAAGACCGAGCTCCCCATATCGGTTGTGCAGGTTTTGGGCGCAGAATGGAAGGGAGGACCCCTTGTCCAGATTGAAGAGTCACTCATTCGGCCCAGTGTGGAGGACCTGATTCTCAACTCATGTTGGATCAAGCCTTTTGTCCAACAATTTCGGGACAGAGTTCCTTCTGGCTTCTTTATTGCAGACTGCTTCCTCATGCTGGACAAGATCTGGTTGGGCCGCCTCCTGCTCCCGCTTCAAGAGGGGGAATCGAAGTTCACGCTGGCGGCAAGCGAAGCCAAAAAGGTGAAGACACTAATTGGCGCTTTGCGTACTTTGCGGCGGTCGAGCCATTTGGTTGTAGTTTTAAAAGGTGTTGTTTTTGTCTGATTTGTCAATCAGCACGGTCTTCTGACCTTTTTGCAGACATTGTTGTTGCTAGCTTCTACCACTGCTACCCAAGGTAAGACTAGCTGCCATCCGAGAATCACTGAGATGAAATCTCTCTTGCTTCCATCGCCTACCAGGAGCAAGGCCATTTCAGGGCCATTCGACATGGAATTGTCTGGAGTGTGTGTCGTAGTCACTGTTCAGGGTTTTGGCAGAATAAGATAGTTAGTTGGGCGAAGCTGATTGTGTATATGGATGGGTTTCTAAAAGTCGATGCTACTTTGCGCCGTGTATGTTACAACTGTTGCGTATTGTTGCAGGCCAGGCCGGCCCCATCGCCTCCTGCTGCTCTCACGGAGACAGAGGAGGAGGAGGAACCAGAAAACCACCGTGAAGAAGGGGAGGAGGTTGATCAGAACATTGAGTCCGAGCATCCAGCCCTGCCTGCGGTTGTTGGGGGTGGAGGTGACGTGGTGCTTGATGATGCTGCTGAGCGCGAGTCAAGCAGTGAAGAGGAGGAGGATCCTGGCGCTCAAGTTGTGAATGTCCCTACTCAGGATTCAGATGAGGATTCTGACGCTACCACACTCATCCTTGGGCAGTCCAAAGGTGAGAAGCACGATACCGACACGCCTGAGCGTCCAAACAAGTGGGATGATGAAAAATTCACCACACCATCAGGGGATCTCCCTCGGGATCCAGAGCTGGTTGAGATGTGCATGGCACTGATGCAATATCTGTCAGGCCATCAGCCAGAAATCATGGAGCAGCTAGGTTGGTCTTCTAATGAACAATGTCAGAATTTTTTGTGGTTCAATTTCTTTTGACTGGTTGATACCCTGGCGCTGCCGTGTTGCAACATCCGTCGGTTCACTCAGGCACCCTCATCTTGTGGCATACCTTGACCACTGCGAGTGGGCTTTCTCCAGATTTGGAGTTGAAGCGGCTGGTTGGCTCTCGACTCATGAATTTTGGCAGTCTTGGTTGGCTCGCTACAAGAAGCTTGGAAACAAGGCGCTGTTGAAGCCACTTCCTGTCATTGTTGCCAAAATTAAGCCCGACTTTTGTTTTTATGCCGCGCGTGTCACGGGCCACCCAGATCTTGCACAGCTTTGCGCAGGTCCTCCCTCACAGGGATTCCATGGACCTGGTAGCTATGTGCCCAGCAGCCGCTGCTGCTGAAGAGAGCCTCATCCGAGAGGAGAAGAAGCACAGTGTTGACGATGTCAAGGCTTTGCTGTTGGGCGTCGCCGTGAGTTCTTTAGAGTAGTTGTCGTGCGTGTATCACTTAAGTTTGTAGGTTCTTCCCATGCTGTGTTGGCTTGTGGGCAATTTCTCATTTGATAGTTTTGTACCCAACTGGAGACACATCTTTTTGCGCAGTAAAATTTTAGTGAACAGCTCTTTGTTCTTGCCCCTGTCTCGCGCTCTTGCAAGGCAGACTTCCAGCGCAACACAATCTTCAAGGTGTTGAAGAACGATGTTGACAAGGAAGGGGAGAGTGTGGGGTACAAGGGTGAGGCGCGCAAGACCCCTCTTCTAGATCAACCATCGTCAGCTGTGAGTGCGATGTCGGAAGCGTTGGAGAAGAAGTTCAAATCCCCTGAGATTGGCATTCAAACGGTTCTCTGGTAGTTTGCATTGGGAAGTTGTTCACTTCTTACTTCCTGCTCCAAGTTGTTGTTCCCCAAAAGCCTCACAAACCTGTTTTCCAGTAAACCAACCTCCTTTTCTACACAGTCACATCCAAGGCTAAGGGCATGAAGAGGTTCAAGGAGGATTCTGCTGCTGCTTCATTGGGTTCGAAGGGTGGCGGTGAGCCCAAGTCTGAAGAGCCTACCAAGAAAAAGCCCAAGTCAGCGTCGCCCAAACCACCTCTTAAACCACCTCTTGAAGATGGGATGTTCAAAACCTACAACTTGCGTGAGCTTGAAGTGCCACAGAGCGCATGGCCCCAAGCCTCCCGACCTCATCTTGGGGCCCATGGTTACACGGTGGTGGCAGCAAATGGAGCAGTCGTTTGCCCCAAAAAATCAGAGTGTACTCCTTTTAAATGAACACTGTTGTTTAAGTCCACTTCAAATCAGCCCTTCCCACAACAAGTTGTTTTGGTCCTGAGGCCATCGAAGTTCTCCTTCGCACCCAAGCATACGTGGTCAAGCGCATTGCTCCTGGAGGTGGAGAGGAGTGCAAAGCGGGTCAAATTAGTTGGAAGAAATGTGGAGGGGCTTTCAAAGCGTGGGGGATGGCAAAAGCGGGGGCCAATTGGCCTTCAGCCTGACCGTCGCTTCTTTCGGGGTTTGCTCTGCACAGTTGTGCCAGAGTGTTTTGGGGTTTTGTCAACACTTCTTGACAACCAGAAGTGAGAGCCCTTGCCTTCTCGGGGTACTGCAGCGATCGAAGTTTCGTGTGTCCAACCCACAAGGTTTTTGAACCTAGACTGCAATGGTGCTATTTGTTTGTTACTTGGCTTGGTAGCTGCCGCCTGAAAGCGCAGGGAAAAGATCCTAGTAGGCCATCGATGCCATCGATCATATCCGCTGAGTTCACAAGCCGTCAGAAAAAAAGGTCCTCCAAGCGAAGATCAAAGCTGGCTGCAGCAAGCGGTTGCAGAGTGGCCACCAAATACCAAAGTTTCCTTGGATGTCACGCTGTGCGATGGCCTCCAACCTAATAGCGGTGGCCTCCAGCCCAACTAGCAATAATGGCCTCCAACCTAGTAGCGATGGCCCCCCAGCCTACTAACAACGGCCTCCAACCTACCAGCGATGGCCTCCAACTAGTGATGGCCTCCGACCTAATAGCAATGCCCTCCAACCTACTAGCAATGGCCTCCAACGGAGGTGCTCGCCCGGCTCCCTTCTCAAGATCTCTACTTCCAAGGCTGGGGTTTGCGCTCGTGATGAATGTGTCTCAATATTCTTTGAGGTTCTACAAGCACAGTGAGCTTGGAAGCCTATCATTTGTGCGTTCGTGATGAAAATGTTAGATAATGTTAGATATTCCATGAGATTCCGCACAACCACAAAAACACAATGTGCCTTCTCACAACCACCAAAACACAATGAGCTTCGGGAGCTTCATCGGTTTTACGTCTGTGATGAACAGACTATGCGCAGTCACCAAAACATCATGAGCTTGAAACATCATGTTTCGATATACTTAAGTGAGATTATTCGCACTCACCAAAAACAATGACCTTGAACGTTTCAATCGTTTCTTCTTCCCACCATTTCCCACCGGTTTCGGTGACCTAGTGACCAGTGGCGGCTCCAAGGCTCCAAGAATCCATCTTCTATAGCCTGCGCAAGTGAGCGAAGGCCAGGGACCGAGGGGGCCTTCTTCAGAAGACCAAACCAAGTAGTGACCACCAGTGGCTGGTGATGCGTTTCAATCCGAAAATGCTTGGCTCAAACTCAAACCAGTGGTTTTGTTGAGGTCAAGTCTGGAGGCTTACTCTGGTATCATGACCAAGGGAGGAGGGGTTGCTGCCAGGGTGAAGGCTTCGAGAGCCAAGATGCCTTTCCCTGCTGAAGCCCCTACCACTATCCCGTTGTCTTGGAAGCAAAAGCAGCGGGTGTGCGTCAACGCTGGCCTTCGCTGCATGAATGCGCCAATGGCCAGGGTTGCCAAAAACCTAGGTGGCGGTGGTGGTGGCGGTGGATGATCCGGTCTATAGTTGCTGGTTTTAATCGAATGTTGTTGGATGAGCGTAAAGGACATATGAAGTTCGCTATCCCCTTGGCAGGTGTTGCTGTCTCTTTGCAGCATGGTGTTTTCGCTCCCGCATTTGAAGTGGGATGAGCCTATAGATCACTTGGAGCTCTTCGCGGGGGTGTGCAGCATCAGCCGCGGTGAGTGGGAGGATTTTGGGGGTCTCCTTAGGTCAAAGTCGTCTTCATAAATGGGTCACCTATTTCTTTTAAAAAAGGGAACCCTTTTTAAGCGAGGATCCTTCTTGTAAGCTATCCTTGTTGGTTTTCATAGAAGCCCTTTCCTCAACACAATATCAGCCTTTGCGTCCCCCTGTATAGGAGAGACGTTCTGCGATCGCCATGGACTTGAAGTTTGGCGCAGAGCAGGACATACTGTCAAACGTTGGCTTCTGCAACATGGTTTACCAAGTGCTGAACTTGCGCCCGGGTGCTGCCATGTGGGCAGCGCCAGTTTGTTCGACTTGGATCTATTTGAGCTTAGGATGAGCACAGGAACCTTTGTCATGTTTCACTTGAGGGCTCATTGTCTATAGGACATTTTGGCACTTGTTTGTTGGTTGATCGTTTGCTTGGATTGGAGCTTCCACCTCTCCACCTTTCTTGAAATGGCTAAGGTCTAGAGGCTCCACTCATCGATCGACGACCAATCCAATGGGTTCCAACACCGGGGTCACGGGCCTGCACAACTTGATGGTGGGGCGTGTGGTTGTGCTCCTTACACTAGCGGTGGCAAAAGGTGTATGGTGGCGGCTTGAACAGCCAAGGGGGAGCCTACTGGAGGGGCACTTGCTCTTCCAAGCCATGCTTCGGCTCCTGCATGTCCACGTCACACGAATCTCGACTTCCCTTTGCTGGTTTGGATCGGACACGACTAAGCCTTTGTGGATCTATTCCAGTAGCCTGATTTGCATTTGCCTGTGCTAGTTTCCAATCTGGCCCCACAACCTCACACACGTCACAAAAAACAATTGTTTAGTAAGATCTACCTGAGGATATGGGGGTCAGATTGGGAACCTTCCCAAAATAGAATAGCATCTGCCTGTTCACTTCTCATTCGTGTCATGTCAACCTAATATAGAAAACGGTGAGTAGAACAAACATAAGGCTTTATGGGGTGGAAGATTGTGGTAGGTCATGGAGTCATGGAGGATGCTCTTCCCATTCTTGTGACAGCCAAATATCTTTTATTCAGACAAGCTTTCCCGAGGTAAGCCAGAGGCTGTGGATTTCAACGACTTTGCGGACAGGACCTTGAAGCCGCCCAACAAGAAGAAGCTGGTGGTCAAGTACAAAGACTCCAAGGGCAAGAACAGAATCAAAGGAAGTGGCGCCCTAAAAGCGAGCGAAGCCTATCCACGAATGTGTTTTGGATAAATCTCAGAAATACTTTTTGGTTCATTGGGTCTGGGATTCATGGGGTCTGGCAGTGGGTCGTGGTACCAGCTCACCCACCAGCCACCCCTTCTTGACTCAAACCTTTCCGATCGCCCCCCCTCCCAATCCCACATGATGCCCAGGCTCGGAAAAGGAGTGGCTCGCGTCACCACCAGGTATCGAATGCGGCACCACCGGGAAGCGCGGCAGTTCCTGCGTGCAGCGCTGAGGGATGACAGGGCTGCTGCAGAAAGCAGTTCTAGGGTCAACAAGTTCTGGGTTGACCAGGCCAACCTGACACCTGTGCTGGCATACTTAGGCCAGCAGTAGCTCACCTATGACCTATGCTCCCATTTAATTTGACAGGTCGTTGTGGAATAGCCGCAACACCAACAGTGCAGCATTGAAATCACAATTAGCTGCTAGTTAGCTGTGGTGGGACAGTGAAGCCGGGAACAAAGAATTCGTCCTTCATTCTGCAGAAGCGGGTTGGCCATGGCCAAACAAACGACCCCCCAATGCTCCTCCAAACCCTGACCCGTTTGTACTGGTATCTAATGAGTTGTAGAGTCGATCTGGTCGCCCAACCAGACACGCGTGTTTCTTTAGCTCAAAGGGTGCCAGTTGTTCCTGCACATTGAAACACACCATATTGGCCAGGTCTTGGAATGCCTCGATTGGTGCTCAAGAAATGTTCCACAAAGCGTCGAGGCCATCAGGGCAAGTGATTGGCGAGAATTTGGGGTGATTGGGTCAGAAATTCAAGAATTTCAAGAATCTGGCACACAGGAAAACAAAACCTAGACGCAACATTTAAAAACATACATTTTTGGTTCAGAACGCTTATGCGATTGGGAGAGATTTTTGTGCGATTTGTTGAGAATTCATGCGATTTGGAGAACACACTCAAAAATAGCAATTTGCCGCCGCTGCACCACCAAATCCATACAGAATCTTGCACTTCAGTGTTTCTGATTCCTCCTGCTCCTGCAGTGTCAGATCATCAAGCTGTTCCTTCCTAGTTTGACTGGCAATGGCAAAAGCCAAGGCTAAACAACCGCAGGCTGCAGTCCAGGTGCGCAAGTCTGCTCTCAAAAAGCCAGGGGGTGAACCAAAGCCAGAGAAGCGGGTAAAGATTGATCCTGCAATCAAGATCATGAAAGGATCAGAAAAGAAAGGCACAAAGAGCAACGATGGTCACAAGGATGACAAGAAAAGAAAGGCAGACAAGATCAAGGCTGATGTTCTGAAGGTTGCGGAAGAAGCGAACCGCCAGAAAGCGAAGACTGCCAAAGGTTCCAAGAAGGTGTCTGATGGCAATACCAAGACAGAGGACAAGAAGAAGGCAAAGGAAAAGGCCATGGCAGAAGAGCAGCAGACCAAACACAAGGATCCCCAGGAGCCACAGGAGACAAAGGAGGAGAAGCCCAAGAAGGAAGAAGCGAAGAAGGAGGTCTCCAAGAGCACCAAGGAGGAGAAGATGGCCCACAAGAAGAAGGACTCTGATAAGAAGACCAAGACAAAGCAGGATGAGACTGCGAAGACCAAAGAGGCAAAGAAGGAGAAGAAGACTGAGGAGAAGAACAAGGATGGCAGCAAGAAACAAAAGAAGGATGATGGGGAGCAGAAGGAAAGGTTGAAAAGGTTACAGGAAGCTGCCTTGCGATGCAGCGTGCCTGCCCCATCAACACCGCCCAGGAAGCGGCACCGAATGAAGTCGCCAGCAAGCAGCCTGGGCACTGTTCAGACTGATGCAAGTTCTGAGCATTACGCAGAGAAGCAGGCCAAGGCTATGGAAGCCCTCGGTGACAAGTTGGAAGATGCTGCTCTACTTGCTAGTGTCAGGGCTGAGTTGGATGCAACTGACATGCTGGGCCTGCTTGATGACCTCAAAGACCATGCAAAAGCACCGTCCACATCGGAGAGCAAGCAGTTGGCAAAGCTCGGCGAGGTTGGGGAGGCTGAGAACAAGCTTTGCAAGAGGGCAGCAAAGCAGCTTGAGCAGGAAAGTGAGGAGGAGGGTGAGGGTGAAGAAAAAGAGAAGGACGCCTCTGATGAAGAGAGCCAGGATGGTAGCGAAGCTTCAGAAGAAGACGAAGAAGTCGAAGCAGAAGCTGATGAGCAAGATGACAAAAGTGAAGAGGAGGAGGAGGAAGAGGAGGAGGAGGGAGAAGGACAGAAGGATGCCGACGAGGCAAAAGAAGATGAAGATGAAGATGAAGAAGATGGTAGCGACAAGGATGAAAACGCAGAAGACTCGGAGGAGGATGAGGCCAGCGATGCTGAAACGGAAGGTACAGCATCAGAAGACGAAGATGACCAGGAGGATGGGGAACAGGAGGAGGAGGATGAAGAGAAAAGGAAGAAGGGAGAGTTGGCTGAGTCTATAGCGGCAACGGCGGACAAGAGTAAAGAGGTTCGCAACAGCAACTGTGCTAATTGGGGTGACATCATTTTCTTTTTCCAATTTTTTTGCACTCCAAAGAATTTGGTGTGGGTCTTTAAAAAAACATTTCGCCACCAAGGTACAACGCGCAAGAAGGAATGGGACCGCTTTGATCGACAAACCAAGGGAGGTGCGTTCCCTACTGCGCTCATGCCTTTCCTGCGAAAGAAGAAGGCTGACCTTTTTGGCCTTTGGTTGGACCATGAAGGTGATTGGGACAAAGTTGTGGTCGAAGTGGATCGTTTGCAATCCACTACCAATTTGAACCGGAAGCAGTGGACGGCCATCCAGGCCAAAGACCTACAAAAGTCCATGCTTGAGGACCGCTTCAAGGAACTCATCAAGAAGCGACAGGAGCAGGGGCTGTATTACGCTGATGAGGATTGGCCGGAAGATCCCCAGGACTGTGGTTGAAAAAATTGTGTGTTTAATGTCATCATCTGTGTGAGTGAAGGGGGTTTAGAATCTCCATGTATTATATGTAACCGCCCAATGATTCTGAACAAAAAAAGCACTAACTAGCGTCATGTAAAGAAATGTCAAGGGTTCAGCCATCCTTTCCAGGAGACATGGTACTATATGCCAACTGGCAGAGTCATCCGCCAAGAGGACTCCACTTCTGAGACCCTCAAAATGTCTGCCACGCAGAAGGTGGGTACTGAACTCCAGGCCGCCCTTACCGGAGAGGACGGTCCTCTTCAAAGCGGCGCCTTGCCCGCCATCCGCGCAGCTTCAGAGCAAGGCGCGAAGCATCTTTATTCAGCCTTAGATGACGAGGGAAAGAGCATTGTGAAGCCAAAGAAGCCAAAGAAAGAGAAGGAGGAGGGAGAAGAAGTTAAGCCAAAGACTCCCTTAGAGTCCTAACCTCAGGGTACCAATGGTTCAGTGGTTATGTGAAAACATTGCCTCAACTGGGATACTATTGAAGGTTTCAATCACTCTGGTGTCCTCAAATGACACTTCGAAGTTTCAACAATGCGACGTCGCCCGCGTTTCGACCTAGTAGTGATGGCCTCCAACCTAGTAGTGATGGCCTCTGACCAAAGCCATGGCCTCCACCCTTAGATGGGTTTATATCTCTCCACTTTGAATCTATAATATGTCGATCGACCTGCTTCATGATCGATCGTGAAGTGATGGCCTGCTTCATGTTTTATAAGGATATCTTGACTCTGTTCATGAACATATTTCCTGAATCTGTGTACAGATAAATCTATCTATCTATATATATATATATGGAAAAACATTGAACATCCTCTTCATCCCACACCGCCGGAACAAGAGTCAAGGTCGCAGTTGCCATCCGCCATGCTTCATTGCCGTGCCAAGGTTGGGCCGAGATCTAGTTCCAGCAGTCCTCGATGAGGCAACAAAGGCACGGACGAAAGGTATCCAGCTCAAGGGTATGGAGTTTGCTGACCAGCTATCAAAACAGCTTCTGGATCATGGGTCTGCCATGGAGGGGTGTTACTCTGATTTGAAGAGTGCTGTTGAAGCTACATCGCCCAATCTCGACAAGATCAAAGCGCTGATTTCGAAAGTGCAGATTAAGAGGGACGGGTTCAAGAAAGCTGAGGTTGGGGTCATGGCCCAAAGATTAAAACATACATGGAAAAACATGAACGCTGGAAAGGATGTTTTTGGATTTTGAGTTTAGTTCAGGGTTGCCCAATCCAAGCAAAAGAAGCGTGTTGAGACACCCCAAAGTGTGTGGCTCACCACTGGCAGCCCCTGAGGCATCTGCTGCTGGAATGATGAAGGGAGGTGCCGGTAAGAAGAGTGGCAAATCAGCGAAGGCTAAGGCGAAAGCCAAAAGTGTAGGGTCATGATGGCTACCTGCGTTTTGATTTGGGGTCTAGCCATGCTCACCATGAGCATGCAGGGGGTCAGCGTAGCTGACTCAGAACGTGTCAATCTCAAGACTGCTTGATGCGAACTGGAAAATAAACACCCGTTTTGGCTGCAGATTTAGAAACAGCTACTATCGCTGTGATTTGTTTTTGTTGGAAGAAACAGCTTGGCCAAGTGAGCTTTGCACCCACTGTCACCCTGATCGAGGGCACCTCTTTGCTCACCGTGGCCAGGTGAACCAACCAGAAGGAAACGGCAAAGGCTGGAGTCCGCGAAAAACAACTCTGGCACAACGGTCAACAAGCTGTTGGAATTGATCGGTAGAGGGGAAACCCATGTGACCACTGCGGCTGAAATAGCTCGAGTTATTCAATCTGATTTTGGAGATGCGGTGAAGGGGATTGAACATCTTGCCAGCTGTGGAACCCACGGAAAACATTCCAGCAACACAGAGCGTGATTTTTGGGCCTGGGCAAAGGGCGCCTACAACTTTCATTTACAGCCGTATCAAATCAAAGTCCATCTGCATGTGGCCTAGCTAGATTTAGTTTGATCTCTTTGTGCCCTTTGATCCCAAGTCTAAACTCCACAGGTTCTTTTCCTGCGTCCCAGTCTCCATGGATGCTTCGCTGCCCAAGGTAGATACCGATGAAGATCCTCGGGAGTGCGTGGCCAATGTACTTCTGCCACACGAAGTGTTTGGGGCTTTGTACGCAAGGGATCCGGATCAGGTGCGGTCAAAAACATATGCGAGAGATTCTGTGTATATTTTTTCACGTCCTGGCAAACCGCCATTAATAACTCTGAGTTTTAGATCGTTTAACAAACCCTGCCAGTTTACCTACTTGATGTGTGGAAACAATGATGGCCTGTCCATATTGCGATTCTGGACCCATATCAAATCATTGTCGGAATACAAACATCACCAGGTCCTGCACTCCTTGTCGGACGACAAACTCAAGAAATTGGTCCCATGCTGTGTGCACGGCGATGGCGCCGAGATGTTTCGGGATGATGAGTTTTTCATTATGAACTGGAGCTCAGTTTTTGGGGCTGCAGGGCATGATTGTCTAGTGAGCCGTTACCCAATATCAATCGTGGCAGAACGCCAGATGAAAACGGATGAAGTCTTTCGATTCAATAGCAAATCCTTTTGGCGAGGTTTCCTCCAACACACGTGTTCCCGGAAACTTATTCAGTTGGCCTGTTGAGGCAGCTTTCATTCTTCTATACATTTCGTTAAACTGAGGTTCGTGAGGGCGTCAACAAAACGATCGCTGAAGTGACAGCATGGTCTCTCCACTATGCAGCATTGGGCCGGTACCCAGACCGAGGGTTCTATGGAGAAGCATTTGAGAAGAATAGCTACAGGGAATCTCTATGTGGGAACCGCATAGCAGGCAATTTCAAGTCTCTAGCCATTCGAAAAGCACATGTTTTTTTATATTGGCCACCAAAAGTAAATCACTACTAAGAATGCATTGGAAACCGTTTCTATCTATTTGGGGACTACTAATGTACTGGAAACCGGTTCTATCTATATAGCCTATGTACTATACTCTTTCTCATGTCGGGGTTGTCTGATAGTTTGAATCAAATTGGAGCAAGGCTCACCTATTTCGCATTCAAAGCAGATCTCAAAGCTAGACACCAGTGTCATTTGCTTTCAGACTACTACCTCTGCAAAAAGATGTGTGACCGGTGCAAAGCAATTCAGCCTATGACTTCGGCTCCTCACCCTATGACCTACAAAAACATGGCTGACAACGCACCATACGTGACAACCTGCAAGGATCACGGCGAGTACCTGAGGACTGCTCGTCGAATTACACCGTGGATTGCTGTGGAGGGGTTTCAGTTCGAGACCATTTCATTTGATGTGATGCACCTTATCTTTTTGGGTGTTGCAAGAAACCATGTCCCCTCGGTCCTCAAATTGTTGAAAACTTTTGGCTACCACTATTCCCCAGCAGAGAGCGACGAGAAGTTCCTACAGCGGGTGAGCTTGGAGATGAAGCAGGATTGTAAGGATCACGGGTTTCCTGTTCAAATTCTATCGCCTAGTTTTTTGTGTGTTTGGAACCTTTGCGCACTAGTTTTGTTTTTGGCACGGTCGCCAACCTGAGATCCCAGGTTGTACCTTCCTAGGCGCCTCTTGTCAGTTTCCAACACCAATTCTTTCGGCCAAGATGACTACTGCGAGCTTTCGTCTCGCTTCAAAGCTCAGCACGTAAAGTCGATGGTCTGGTGGGTCGCCGGAAAGGTTCAAGATGTTACGAAGCGTTCTGACACTCACTGCATAGAATAAATTTTCATGATTTGTTCAACTGAACCTCTATAGAGCGTTTTGCATTACCGCAAGCGCCTAAAACCGACATCTGAGGAAGACCCGATCATTGTCTTGCTCCAGCTTTGTACTTGGTCGTTGACCAGGGCCATTGAAATTATGGATGGTGGCGGCCTCCTTCTGACCACTACTGAAGCAGAGGTGTCACGGTGACAGAAATTGAGCCCCCTTTTTGATGGATATCCAATTGGAGGGGGTGGTTTTTGGGTCCTTTGAGATGTTTGATGGGGTACCTCTGTAGTATTGTGCAGTCTCTACCGCGCGCCCACGCCCAGGAGTTCTCCAGAGTCATGCGCCTACACCTGAAATCTTCGCAAGCTCTTGCAGCCTATTGCTGGCAAGAGCACTTGATGTGTTTCAAATTGAGACCGAAGCATCATTGTTTGTACCACGTAGCAGTGGACACTGCGACCACCAGGTTGAACCCAAACATCTTTGCAGTTTGGCAAGATGAGAAATGGCTTGGGCGTATAAAAAAAATAGCAATTCGTTGCCATGGGGCCACAGTCCAGAAACGTGCCATAGAAAGGTATGTGCTGGCTCTTTCACACTACTTGTACAGCAATCAGACAGGCTGATGCTTTGGTGTGGCGATGTTCGAACTAAAGTTGATGGTGCAAATTATGTGTTGGTACCCAGTGCATCTAGCCATGGGGCGCTGCAGGGTTCATGCAGCCAAGCTTCGAAACCGTTCGAAGCCACGTGAGCCAGAAGAAAAGGCAGTGGCAGTAGCAGCCATGGACCGCAGCTTCTGGGAGGCCATCGCTATTAGTTTGCAAGCCATGGCTAGTAGGTTGGAGGCCATCACTACTACTACTTTGCAGGCCATCCCTAGAAGGTTGGAGGCCATCGCTACTACTACTTTGCAGGCCATCCCTAGTAGGTTGGAGGCAATCGCAAGCAGGGTGTGTGTGTGTGTGACTGTGCACCTCATCCCTTTTCAAGGTCACCGGTTGACAATGTATACATACATACCCACTTGTACGTGTATACAAGTATATATGTACATATATTATGTAAATTGAAGAGAGTGTTGGAAAACATGTGTTTGAAAAGAGGTTCCTCACTTTGCCCCACGCTTGGTCACAAAAAAATGCAAACTGCCCTTGGCTCAGCCCTAACGACACCAAACACGACGCTGTCCCATGTTTCAAAGCTACATATTCCATATTAGCCTCGACCTTTTAAAGGCCGCTTGCTTTTTGAATCTTCAAAACTGCGGGAGAACTTGAAACGGTTTCGTTTGGATATTGGTGCCGTTTGGTGTTCAGCGCCTCTGTGCGCGCACCTGTGTCGCCTGACCTCCAACTGCTTCGTTTGCGAAACGTTGTCGTTTTGACTGCTTGTATAGGACACTCTTGTACATACACTCTTGTAGGACACTCTCGCACAGACTTGTGGAAAAATAAAAATAATTCCTTTCCCGACACTCTTAACAAAACATTCATCTATGACATTTCTTCGAGCCAACATGTTCTTTTTCAAAGAGTGGCTCTAACCACAAACGACAACGCTGCTTCATACGACAACGTCTGTTGTCGTTTGTTGGAAACATTGTCCTTTGTGCAACGTTGGATCCTCTAAGAACATGTTGGAACATGTTATGAGTAGCGATGGGTTTGTGCATAGCTGAACTCGATCTGAAGACCCAGATGATTATTTCTCCTCTTGATCTTGTTGGGGTCCGGGATCGCGACGTGGTTCTATTAGAACTATCCTCCAAGTTGACAGATGTTCAAAAGCTAAATCTATTTCTGGCCGAACATCACAGTCCTGCTGGCTGGACATCCCAAACCTAGTACGAGGAGCCACGTGACAAATCTTGTTTACCACATGTTTAATCCTCATGCACCAGAACCAAAGCCTGAGAAAATAGCACTAGAAAATAGCACTAGAACCAAAGACTGCTGGCAAAGAGTTGAGGTCTTGGGCCTCCGGTTTCGAAGCACCACCACAGCCCCAGTGCGGCGCCCTGGCAATCAAGCCGTGGATGGTGAAACTGGTTGGGACAAGCTGCCACCGACGGTGGACGGTGAAAGTGATTTCAATATATGTCCGAATGTTTCAACTGAAACCAAACTCCAGCCTTACACCGGCAGCTGGGGTACGCGAGAAAAGGTTTGAGATAAACAGGGCATGGGCGAGCGCAGTGATTTCCAAGTTGCAACTCAAAAAGAAAAGTCCTTGATTGGACCATGAGAATGTTCTCATATGTTCTCATTGAAAGCCATGGTGAGTTCTCACAATGCCAATGGGCCAAACGCCAACTGTGTTTGCAAGGCCACTCACTGTGGACCATCAACACGCCCACCCTACCATGAACTGCGCTTCGAATGATCAGGGCTCCACACGTCGAACGTGGAATCACCGGCCTGCATAGAGGAGAGAGAGATGGGGCAAAGCCACACAACATACAGTATTCCACCTCAAGAAAACCTAGCCTTGGAAGTAGACAAGTTCTTGAGCCCTAGTAACACCTCAGGCCCACAATAAAGGCAACTGCTCTGCCTTCCGGTGCTGAGGTGGCTCTCTCCATGCCAAAACCTTTGGCAGCATCGCGTTGGCGGAGGGTTGGCGGTGGGTGGCTCTCATGCTCAAAACAAATCTTCAAACATATTCTTCAATTTTTTTATCTGACTGTTGCAGGAACCTGGGTCCCTGGCATTTTTTGGATGATGTCCACTTGAGCCACCCAGCCCGGTGCCGGCCAGCGGTTGAAACAATAACGTATGTATCTATCAACATCTAACCCAACACACCCACAACCCTTTAAGTTCTTTAAGAGACAGATAAGGTACTAGATCTGAATCCCTGAAAGAATATAGGGCGCACGTGAAACAAAGTTGGGTTATGTAATCACTTAGGTTCAATAATGTTTCCGCGCGTTTCAATGCACACAGCTGCTTGCCCATTAAGAAAAGCCGCTTGCGCAAGCAAGGTAGCTGGTTTGTTGGCTATGTTCCACTGGTGCTAGTCCTGCTAGCGTGCATTGATTTGAGCTATTAACCAAGCCCCTGGTTGCGGAGCAAACCCCCAGGTGTGAGGGATCAAGACTTTGTGAAAACATAGATGTTGTAGGTCTCGTTTGTCTCACCTGTTTCACTTGCTGCTTGTGCTACACTTGATGATCCCATGATGATCATCATTGCCAATCCTCTTCGGACTTCAGCCTTGGTCAATGCATTGCGACGTGCATTGTCACGTCGTTCTTTTGGACTTTTCTTCTTGGCCGCAGTGAAGCTTTGGTCGGACTGGAGGGTGAACATGTGTGTTCTCATGCGGTCTGCCATGAGCTGCCGTGAAGCCACCTTTGTAAGGCCGTCGGCCAGTTGAAACTCACTGGACATCCACTTCAGGAGACATCCTGTTGTGGTCATCTTCTCCTTCATCACCAGGGCCTCAATCTGGGTTCGTTTGTCCCCAGTCAACTGTGGTGCTTCACTTTTGAGGCAATCGTATAAGGCTTTGGCGTCGACCACAAGGGCACATGGTAGCCGACCAGTCTTCTCGTCCACATTCGAGGTGGAGAATGAGCTGTTGACACATCACTTCCAAAACAACTGAATGTACTCGAGGGAGTCCATGGCTGCACTGCAAGCTTGAGACTCGGAGTTCAGACTGCTTCTGCTGATTCGTGGCAATTCATATGATCTCCAGTCCAGGATGACATACTTGAAGTCGCCACTCTTGCGCAGCACGTCCTTGTGGGAAAGCAGGATGAAGTATCCTCCTTGGCTCAAGTGATCGGGGCGAACACCCCATGCAGCAACGCTAACCGCTGTCAAACATAGTTCATTCAACTCGCCCAATCTTGTGAACTGCAATGAAGCGTCCTTGTTGTTCTTTGCGAACCTGAGTGCTTTGTTTGCTGCTTGTGCGATGGACTCTGTTGCACCATTGATGCTTCCACATAGTAGGGAAATTGAAGCACTCAAATGCGGCATTGACTGTGTTGATGGCCATTGAAGTTGGTGTCGTTGTCAAGGGTTTCACTCCAGGGATGTAGTCCTCTTGGTGCAACTGCCATGTTTGTTCACCAATCTTCTTTAGCTTGCATCCGCAAAACTCAAGTTGTTTGTCCTCTTTCTCTTCACTCCAGTGCTTGAAGTCGAAGGTCTTGCGAAGATCACTTTTGACCTTTTGGTACATTGATGAGCTTGGATCTCCAGCGCCCAGCATGTCATCAACGTGGAGGCCACTTAGACATACCAAGCGACCATCTTCATCAAACAACCGGAAAAGGCAGCATTCTAGAGGATGCGGTGCAAATCCCAACTGCTGGAGCTTCCTGGTTGCGACTTTGTACCATTCACGAGGTGCGTCAGCTTGACCATATAGTGGCTTCTTCAATCTCGTCAAAGCTCTACTTTCCAGGTTCAACATCTTGCAAGCGTCATGGGGAAGCTTTGCCCAAAGTTGGCGAGACTGTGGCAACGTCACTCACCCATTTTTCCCAGTTTTCATTGCACGCGATGGCCAACAGGGTCTGTCGAGCTGTTCTGCACAAAGTGGGGCTGCTGGTCTCCAGTTTGCCTTCTAGGAGGTCTGGGTCGTTGAACCCTTGAAGGACTAGACGTGCCTTCGCACGTTGTTCACCTCCTGCGCCAGTGCGCCAAGCGAGAACCCATCTTGCTCGAAAGATGCGGTCTGGAGCCACTTTGTGTCTGTGTGGATGTAGTTCCACCTCCCAAACACCATTCTCGAAGATCGAACTGAGTTCACTCTTCTTTCCTTCCACAAAGGCGAGTCGATCTTCCCAGGAGAGCTTCTTCTCGTCA